CTGCCATTCCATAAGCCATACGACGATCAAGGGCACGAAAAAATATAATTGTCAAGGCGTTCATATCTGACGTTTGTGACCACGATTCCCAGACGTCACTGCCTTCAGTTGACCCTCAATGTTGTGCAAGGTGCGATGACGTAATAAAACCACGACGCATTGCGGAGCATATTTGCTAAACAGAGAATTGTGCTGTTTAGAGCAGTCTTTTTCACTTAAAAAGCGTACCAATAGCTATAAGTGAGCCTGTTTGATGATATCTGATATATAATTATTGGACCACCTGCGGAAATCAGGGATGTTGTTGCATCAATGAAGGCTCCTACGTCGATTCAGATTCATCTGCGTGGATCAGAGAGCCTCTCGCGTTAGGGAGGAGGCCAGTGTGATGTGATGCATCCCTCTAAGGGTCTTCGGATGGGCCAGGGGATCCCGTCCCGTGTCGCCAGAATGGCAGCTGGAAGACGCCCTGCAAAGAGACGGAATGGTCCTTCAGCCCTTGGCCGGGAACAAAAATGTGCCCCCTAGTGTTCTCCTCAGGGGCCGTTTTCTCGGAAAGAAGTAAGGGGTCTTATATGTGCTGAAAGGGGGCGGGCGAAATTAGCTAAAAAAAAGGAACAAAGTCATCCCATGTTTGCCAGAGAACGTCTATTCTGTTGCAGAATCAACTAGTGAAACAAACTGCATCAAAAACTTTGAGCCTGCGCGCGCGCAGTTTCGAGAGCAAGGACAGCGATGGCCCGGGTGGCAGTTCCGTCAAACCGGCGTTGGCCGCTGCAGTAAGCGAGCGGCGTTGGCCACTACAAGTAACATCGGGAGGCGGGCGCTGTGCGCGCGAGAACGACTCACAATATAATGGTTCCGAACGTCTTTCAAAATGAATTCGTACAGTTCGAAGATGAGACTGGGCGTATCTATTTACAACTTAAAAATTGTCCCTGGACAGAGAAACAGTTACAGCAAAACGAAAAACCGAGACTTTTCCTTAAATCTTCCAGTCCGACCACCATATTCCTGATTTGCGGTGTTGTAAAGTCCAGTCCACTCTTATCTTCAATTTAAAAATCACACAGCTGAAATACACACACGGACTACCTTCTCAAAGTTCGATTTGATGTTCTACAGCGTTCAGAGATACTTCTTTCAAATGCGTCATCATTTTCGCCCACCCGTTATCCACAGCTCAGTGTTAGCCGCCAGGCCGACACTGCGCGACCTCCCGAGACTGCAACATCTGGCATCGAGGTCTTCGTTGCCAAGATTTGTGAGCGCGCATGCTAAAACTATGTTACCAAATTTGTATCACTTATCAATTTTGACTGAATATTAAGCATTTTCAGACAAACATGACTTGGTCATGTTAATGCAAAATGTTGGCCCATTTCAATCTACATTCGCGGTGTCATTAATATATCTGCTCAGCCCAGATAAGGCTTATACAGAGTCCACTGGACCATTCTAAAATGAAGAACGCCGGTGATTTATTGCATGCAGTCGCTTAATGCACGATTTCTTCAGTTCATCGACCAACAGCTCAGGCAGAATTGATCTCGCGGTAGATTTTGGCTTTTGTTCAAGCGGTAGAACGTAACGATGAAAAGATATCAAAGAAGCATGCCCTCCTTAACAAATGGGCCATGTCCGGCGATTCTTTTGGAGGGGACCTTTTCCTGTTAGGCGGCCCTTTGTCAACCCTGTACCCCCTCTTGTCAAGGCTCTGGCTGCGCGCTCAACTGCATGGAAAGTGGCTGACAATTCGGCGTCGCGCTGGGGCCCAGCTGGACCCGCTGAGTCCGCCCAGGCCCATGGTCCATGGCTCATCCAACTGCCGTGGACTCTAGCCCTACTAGTCCTACTAGTCGTACTAGCCCTACTAGTTCTACTAGTCCTACTAGTCGACACTATCCTTAGTTTACGCAAACTACCCGACCGTGCGGAGACAATCAGCTGTACGTGCAGCACGTCGTCTATAAACGAGTCTTATATGCGCATAATTTATTTGTTTCACCTTTTTGCGATCGGTGTGCGGACTTGATTGTAAGTAGCACCAGCAACGAACTCCACCAGCGGCAGACAGCACTTGGTGTGCCTAGTATACGATATACTGGCAAATAAGACATATTGTAACTAAGATAAGCTTTCTCGCCGGGGTCCAGTCTGTGATCTGAGGGGAAGGCTCGGCCAAACAAATATGCACGGATGATGACAGATCAGACAGACATCAGATGTGCAGTCTGGGGCACCCGGCTGCCCTGCGGCTGGGCCGGCGGGGTAGCTGCAGCAGCAGCAGCAGAGGTCATGACAGAGGTCATGGAGCGCAGGGGTCATGACCTTAGCGACCCGGATGCCGGCCTCGGCCACTGTCTGTTGAGCGTGACGAAGTCGATGCCTTCACAGACGGTCTGTTTGACTCTTTGCCTGCCGATGATCAAGCTCACGCGACGCGACGCTTCCGGGCTCCTCCGCTGAGGAATGCTTCGATATGAGGGGCGCTCTCTCTCAGTATCAACATCCATGAGATTATGAAATCACAGTAGCATGTACGCCACCCATAACGCAAGCGTAACTGCTTCTTCATACCACACACACGCACACGCACACGCATACGCATGACTATATCACACCTTTGAAATTTTACTCAAGCAAACGGTTGTTTCACCACACTCGTTAACACATCTAGGCAGATTACCAAGACAGGTGTTCGCCCTTTTTCAGGACTATACCTAAGCAAAATACATGTTCTTATTTCAGCATTCGCTCGTGCAGTTTTTAACGATTGGTGGGACAGCGAGATTGTGTTTCGGTTCTGCCTCTGCAAATTAATTCCAAACCCGACCCATGGTGCGTGGCACTGATGTTGTTTTTCGCTCAATGCAACCAAACATTACATTGAGCAATGTTCCGTTGCATTGAGCGAAAAGCGACATCAACACCACGCACTATGGATGGTTTGAAATTAAGTTAGCATTTGTAGCTACACCCGTCGAAACGCATTAAACACGCCTCCTGACAAGATTTGGACAAGATTTAAGTCCATTCCTGCCAAAGTAATTTAAAAGATGACGCCTTCTGGAATACATAACCCACCAAGACACGTCTGTTAACGAACAATAGAACAAGCATTGAGTAATGCTGAATAATATGCAAGTCATAAAAATGATGACAACATCGGTGACCGCTGTCAGAACAGATGGTCAGCTCCGGCCCGTGGGCCACAACGGAAATTTGGGGGTTAACCCGCGCGGCTGGGAGACCAGAGGTACACGCCCTTTCTGCCAGGGTGAGAGGCAGGCGACGCTATACAGCCTCCGTAGCTGACAGCGTCGTAAAGCTCCAACGACACGACGGTTGCTGTTAATGGGGTAGCCATCTCTGTGTAAGCGTGGTTCTCAGGGCTGCGAAGGTCGGCCTCTGCTCCCGCGTCAGCTACCGGAACATCTGGCCTGCTTCCCAAGGACTCAATCGCTTTTTAAAAAGCTGCGAACGTTAGTTGTTAAGTGCATTAGCGAGGAACATTATTCACACAGATAAGACAGAACTATTAGCCTTATTCCTTCAGGAAACTAGGAGAATGGGGATATAACTTGGCTGATATTTCGGCAACATGCCTTTATCAAAACAAAAGCAGAAGTGAATTCACTCCTGCTTTTGTTTCGATAAAGGTATGTTGCCGCAGAAAAAGCAGAAGTGAATTCATTCCTGCTTTTGTTTCGATAAAGGTATGTTGCCGCAGAAAAAGCGAAAGTGAATTCGCTCCTGCTTTTGTGTCGATAAAGGCACGTTGCCGAAATATCAACCCAACTATATTTCCATTCTCGCGGTTTTCCGAAGAATAAGGCTAATACTACTGTCTTATCTAGGCTGCGAACGGTCGCGATCCGCTGACGGCGAAGGGACATCAAAACAGTAGGGCATTGGCGTGAATGTCTTTATTTCAAAATCAACAAATGACAACAGACGGGTTAACGCACATGCCAATACGGATTCATCACAAGTGTATAGACAAACAGAGCCAGCACAACAGCAGCCGTCCCCCTACTGACGAGATCGCTGCGTCGTCCCAGACATGCCGATCGCTCTGGCCCACAGTCGTCCGCGCCAGGACACCGTCGGCACTGACGCAGTGCTGCTCTCAGAAATACGCACAGCACTTGGTGTTATTCTACTCCACTCGCCGGGCGGAAGTATGGGACACGGGCGTGTTATGCTGTGTTAATGGCTGGCCCACTTGGGGCTTGATCACTGCCACCTATAGGCCTACATGCACCAACCAACCGATTTTGTACACAAAACAGACCATTTTATCTGTGTGGGCATAATGCGTGCGTTGACACGCCTATGCCACTTTCAAACAAAGTGGGTCAAGTCGCTCCAAAAGCGGCTCCCTATGTTTGAACAGAGGCGAAAGAGGACGCGACGTTCCTAAAAATAGTACGCCGACATACAGACACGCGATAGCCTGAACTAAAAAACAAACAAAATTGTCTCACATCTTACCTTTAAAGCACAGCTGTACGATTATCAGATTATCATCCTGTCTGACCGTGTCAACCGCATTGCCCTGACCTTTAACCGTCAGCTGCCAACGGAACGCTCCCCTCCCCAACCCCACCCCTCCCACCCATGACGTCACAGTCACATCGCGCATCGTTTGTTGGCTTAAGGCCGGCGTCGGCCAGCCTCAGACAGGCAGAACCCGCCGGATGCCCGGCACAAGCTCGCTGTGGATGCACGCGCGTCCTGGCCAGCTACCGGACCCGTCACCCCCTGGGCCCAGTCTCAGCCGCGCGCCGGCGTCCGTCGCCGGACAGCAGCGCGCGAGACCGACTCACGCCCGCCGGGCCGCCGCCTGACCGCGTCGGACGCGAGCACGCGTCGCTTGCGAGCCGGTGCCAACCGCTGACCGGTGTCGGTTCACTACAAACCGAAGGCAACGGCGGTGGGGCGCGAACCCGGCAGCGCGCAGCTCTGCCAGCCGGTGACACGGCTGGTGTCGGGGAAGCCGACCCTCCGACCCGCTTCGATGATACGACCCGTGCAGGGGAAGCCGACCTTCGGACCAGCCTCATCGCAGCAGGCCGCTGCGAAGCGGGGACAGGGCGACGAGCCCAGCCTCTTGGCAGCGGACGTCGAATCATGTTCGCCCGGGGTGCGGTGGGTGGTATTTGTCTCTGAGGGCAGGAGAACAACGTGTTGGACGACAGACACGTACAGGCACGAGACACGCACGCTCACATAACCTCGAACAGTTGACTGAGCAACAGGCGGCTTTTTACTGTTTATTCATGTCTCAACACCTTACGTCACTGGGTACCAGCCCTGCCCGTGCAACTCGTCAGCTTTTATTTCGTTCCCCATCCGCAGAGTAATAGAGCCTTCAATACTGGGGGAGAGACGCAACTGCGCGTTGTCTCGCACATTCCTTCCAAGGTTCGAACCAGTTGCGCCCGGCCAGCGCCCTGTCTTCCATCGCGCATTGCACTGATGCAGGCCGGTCCTGCGCCCCGTGGGAAAACCGCGGAATCCCCATTCCTCCGCCTCGTCCGGGCTCTTGAGCTATTAGCGCAGGCTGGACTGGGTGTCGGCTCCCAGATGTCAGGAGGGTGCCTGGCCGTGGCCAGATCGCAGGGTCAGTGACAGGGTCAGGGGTCAGCTACCTGGCCAGAGGACGGGCCGCGGTCAGAACTGATTGTCAAACGTTGGCCGCCAGAAGTACTCGGCCGGCTCTGGAACAGACGGACGCCGGCCAGCTGGGTTAGTCGAGTGGCACAGCAGACGTGCGGCACAGCACAGTCGAGCGGCACAGCACAGATGCGCGGCACAGCACACCAACACGCCGCGGCACAGCTCGGCGCAGCTCGGCGCGGCACAGCACAGCAAGCATGCACGGACAACACACAAAAAAAACAACGACAGGGCAAACAAGTAATCTGGAAATTGTGAAAACAGCGGGAAAAGAAGCAGAACACGATCCAAATCAACATGTTAAGGCATGGGTGACCGCAAAAGCCTACTTATTCTACCAAACAGTGTCATAAAATTGTTTAAAGTCCTCTTCCACAAAAACGTTTCTGTAAAGCTCAGTGCGGGATACCATCACCCATTTTTACAGCAATATTCAATGGTTGATTCTCGCAATTCTGTGCTGAGAAGCTCTTCAGATCACATAAAAAACCTCAAAAGAAAAAAAAACACACGCATGCCTTACGGTTCATGATATTGAGTGAACTCGCGGCGAATAATCCAAGAAGGTGATTACGGTAAAACAAATACATCTCGTCCAGGAGCCATACACAATTACAATAAAATGTATGAGCGTTGAGAGGGAGCATCAAGGATAAACAATATATGAAGAAGCCAACGCGTTATGCAACACTGCAGCGGTTTGTCCCGTTTTTGGCAAGAGCGGGCTGTTGGGCTGTATTCCGGTTTGTCCGCGAGCCCACCACGCAAAATCGGATTAGAAGTAGCGTCAAAGGGGGCCACATACATCAAGCGCCACACTTATGACGGGTCACACGTACATATCAGCCTACTGATCGCCCTTCGGCACTATCTTGAATGTCACGGAGGCCACGCGTGCTGCAACAGAGGGCGACCATGGCACACGTTGATACCAGGGCATCTTAGTAGAACCGACCATAATCGTCAAGTTCCACGCGATCTTTCTGCGGTCCACACACCCGTCGCTCTAAGGTCCATAGCATCGCTTCACCAGTCGTCACCGAACTATGTGGCAAATCGAGGCAGTGCACCGCCAGGGTACCTGCACAACGCCACCGTAATCCCTCACTCTTTCTAGGGTTGCGCGGGGACGCAAGCTCACTTTTCGGTGTGGACGTCTTCTTGACCATGGTTTGGTTTTGGTGGTGGCGGCGGCGGGCGCGTCGTCCTCGTGTTGGCTGCCGCTGTCCGAGCTCTCCGCCGCCGGCTGGGAGCCGAAGGACGAGTGCCTGCGCGCAGACAGGTCCGGTCACTCGGGCAGACGGTCCGGTCACTCGGGCAGACGGTCCGGTCACTCGGGCAGACGGTCCGGTCACTCGGGCAGACAGGTGCGGCCACTCGAGCAGAACGGACCGGCCACTCGGGCAGACAAGTCCGGCCGCTCGTGCAGACGGGTCCGGTCACACGGGCAGACGGGTCTGGTCACTCGGGCAGACAGGTGCGGTCACTCGGGTAAACGGGTCCGGTCACTCTGGCTCATCAGTCTCCAAGGCAGCGTGGCATGTGTGGCACGAAAAAGGCACGTTGCTGCTGTAGTGATGGGAACTGCCTGAAGGGTTCCACTAATGTGACCAGAGGCGCCAAAAGGGCTCCACCATTGCGACCCGGGGTGCAGAATAGCCCCAGGTTGACAAAGGGTGCTTTTGCAATAGTGATGCGATCTGTACAATTTTACACTCCCTGAGATGCCCTATATGCGTAGGAAATCAGTAGTGATGCATGTCTATGCACCATAGCAGCCTCGGAATGTCAACTAGTTGACTTATACTTTCTCATTCTGTGCATTAAGCACCGAGTGCCCACCCCACTCAAATCGTTTTGCTCGTAACAAATACACTGCCCCATACCCAACAACACCAAGACCGCCAACAAATACAACGCCAAGACCGCCTCAGTTGACGCCAAGGACAGCTCAGCTGACGCCAAGGACAGCTCAGCTAACGCCAAGGACGGCTCAGCTGACGCCAAGGACGGCTCAGCTGACGTCTCACCTGGCGAATGGCGGCTGGTCGAACAGCGAGCCGCGTGGGAAGGTCATAGGCTTGTCGAACAACGACCTGACCTGACCGTGCACGCCCCAGAGGCCTGGCAGCCGCTGACGAGGCGAGCCAGGCTGGTTCAGCCGCAGAGGGTCGCTCAGCAGCAGCGAACGCTGCAACAAGACGGCATAATACCGGGTCAGCATGGGACGGCGCCGGGTCAGCACGGCACTGCGCCGGATCACCACAGCAAGGCGCCGGGTCGGCATGAGACGGCGTCGGGTCAGCACGGTACGGCGCGGCTACACCGGCACTTAAGAGGCTGGCAGCAGCGGGCTAACGAAGCTGGAAGCTGGAAGGAAGCTGTTCCTGCGAAGCTTTGCGGGATATCGTCACGGAGCGGCGAGTCAGGCGCAGTGATCCGATCAACACGCTGCGATATCAAGAGACATTCACCTACGGTACCGTGACATTCAAGGATCCTGCAACCGTGCAGTGTGCACAAAACACAGTACGCTTCCTCTGAAGGCGTTTCTTGAACATCAATCTTGTAAGCACGATACTGGTTCCTACAGCTCTCCACAAGCCATCCAAGCTCCTTCGCCATCACCTACCGGGCTCGATTTTCTCACCTTAGCGGGCGAGTCCTCCATGTCCATCCGCTTGTTGAGGTTCTTGACGCGATCCATCAGAGAAACCGAACAGCGACTCGGCAGTGAAGATCTCGAACTGGTCATCCTCGTCGTCGTCTTCGCCGCCCGAGCTCAGGCTGTCCGACGAGGGCGCCATCTTGGGCCGGGACAGCCTGCCGACGCAAACGAGGCAACGCCGATCTCGCGTAAGCGCTTCTCCGGGGCCGCCAAACGAAAACGAAAGAAAACGTGCGCTGAAGTCAGAAGTCCGTCCATTCAACCGTAATATGACACCCGTGCGTGGTTAGCCGTACTTACATGAATAATTTTGATACGATATCCACTTATACAATAGATTCGTCCGTGCATTCATTCTGTGTCTTACTCCAACTTTCGTGGCCATGACATACCGCATTGACGGATACCTACGCTCGTTCGGGACTCGTCATCTTGCACTCGCCCGGAGAGCCCTTCGTCGGCGGACATTACCTGCTGCTGGCGATGGGCCAGCCGACCAGGTCAGGCAGCGGTCTGTCATCGAAGCAGCGCATGGAAGTGAGCCTCTGCAGGCCCCAGGGGGCGCCCCAGACGTCCTCCCTGGCGGCCCGGTCTCCCAGCAGGCTTCTGCCAGTCCCCGCCAGGCGGCAGCACCGTTAGTCACAGACGCGGCGGCCGCGTTCGCGCGGGCGGCGGGCCCGTCCCCGCGCCGCCAACCAGGAGGCAAGGTCTCGCACGTTCGGAGAATGAGGTTCAAGCCGTTTACCAACTGCCAGTTAGATGCGGTCGACAGCATCAGTTCACATACCGACTGGCCCGATAGCTTTTGAGAAACGTGGGACCTGTTCTGGTTGGCGAGGCGGAAGCAGAACCACCAGCACGACAACTGATAGGCAGGAATCACACAAAACTGGGAATAAAACCTCGCAAAAAGGGGCTCGTCAAACGCATGCAGATCATGGACGATCATCAAAAGCAATAGTGACGCCGAGGGACGAAACAGGAGCATCCTGGTAGTGCCATGCAGCAGAAGTATCATGCCTAATTTTATGACAATCAGTCGGACAACGCAACGATTTATTTGCATCATGCTGTCGTTGGGATATTGATATACAGGCTTCGATAAATCCAAGACCAACATCCTATGACGCATTTTGCGTGGCATGGTTCAAGAAACCGACTCAACAGACAGGAGAAAAAGGATATCTGAATGGGGTCAAGATACCAGCTGCTGTTCTTTGTCACTGACATCCCGCCCCTCCACAGAGGACAGGCCGACAAGCAATCCTGATCTAGCTTACGTTCGTCACCAACAAAAACCGCTTCCACAAAGGGGGCCCCAATCCTCCCGCGCCGGCACTGCGGCTCCCGCCCCCGCCCCTACCCCCCCCCCCCCCCCTCCATCACCGGCCGGTAACAAACTCCAGCCGCACGCAAAAACCAGGCTCCGCGCGGACAAAACCAGCGCTCTCTCGGGGGCGGCCGCGTCCCACTCACCCGAGTCGACGCTGTCCGGACAGCTGGTGGGAGCGGAGCAGCCCGGCGCCGTCGGCCCGCTCGGCCTCGACCGACTGCGCGCGCGCCGGCGGCGTCATCGTACCGCCGCCTTCCAGCGCGATCGGGATGATGAACTCGCGCGGCGACTTGCGGATGAGCTCGCGTGGCGGCGACGGCGCGCGCACCTCCTCGTCGCTGGACGAGTCCTGCTCGGGCAGCGAGCGCAGCGACGAGGTGGGCCCGATCGGCCTGGAGGGACGGCGCGCCGCCGGCGCCGCAGGGGCCGGCGCCGCCGCCGGCGCTGGGGCGGAGACGGCGGCGGCGCCGCCGGCGGCGGCCGTGGGCTTGGTCGTCTCGCCGTCCGCCAGCCGGATGGGGATGATGAACTCCTTGCTGGCGGCGCGGCGCGGCGGCAGGCTCTGCGCGCGGTCCTCGGGCCGCGCCGGCGCCGCCGGCTGCTCGTCGCTGGTGCCACGGTCCAGCCGAGCTCGGACAGCCGCCGGCGCCGGCTCGGCCGGCAGGGCCCGCGGCCGCACGTCGGCGGGCGCGGTGCGGATCGTTGACGGCACGCTGTCCGCCGAGAAGCGAGCGGGTGACTTGCGCTCCGGCATCTTCAGGCTCGGTCTGACCTTGGTGTCCTGGGTCTTGGGCTTCTGTTCGGGCTTAGCGGGTTTATTTTTCGCATTGTCTTCGGGCTTGACCGCTGTGTCCTTCAGTTTTCCCTCAGGCTTGACGACCTTGTCTTTCACCTTCCTTTCATCATCCACAGCCTTTTCTTTCGTCTCCTCTTTCACAACCTTGCTTTCTTCAAGAACTGGAGTACGTTTCCCTGCTTGCACTTTACCATCGTCCTTGGCACCTACAGGACTTCTCTCCCGCTTTAGATCGGCTGAATTTTCTTCCTTCGGTTTTGAAATCACTGTCCCCTTCTCTTTCACTGGGGACACACGGCCAAGTTGAGAACTAACGTCGTTCGGCTCCTGGAGAGTCTTTTTCTGCTTTGGCACGCCATCGGCTAACTTTGCATCACTGACCGGGATCTTGCTCTTTTTGGGTGTCACGTGGGACTCGCCAGGAATTCTCGCCGGAGATTTCTCCTTTTGCACCTCAGGGTCAACAGCTTTCAGCTTCGGCTTATGCTCCGCGGACCTTTTCATCAGCATCCGCCCTACTCGTCTCTTGTTTGGGGGACACCCGAATGTTCTCCTCGGTTTCTTCGCCCTTGGCACCGCTTGGGTCGACCGTCGTCTTCTTTGGCTTGCGTTCCGCGAGCTCTTTAGGCGAAGCACTCTTGTCTTGCCTGACACCGTCCGACGAAGCCTGTTTCACTTCTTCGGGTGCCGTCGGGACAGATTTGCCAGCTTCTCTGCTCGTCTCTCTCGCAGGACTAGTTTTGACGCCAGCAGCATCCCCAGTAGACAAAGAGGGCGCTACAACTGCCTCCTTCAGCGAAGGCGAAAGACGGCTATCGGAGGCAGATGGCGCTTTTGTAGAGGCCACCTCTCTCTCGGGCTGCTTTTCGGCGCCGGCCGACGGCTCCGGTGCCGCCGGGGACGGTGACGCCCGGCGAACTTGAGGTCGCGGAGCCGCCTGAACGTCCGTCGGCACCTCCGACTGATCGCCAGCGGTGCTCTGCTCCTGCTCAACCGGAGCGGCCCCCCGACGTCACCTCCTCACCGCCCTCTGGCGGCGGCGCTGGTGTTGGACGAGGCGTCTCCGCCTCCGGAGGCGTGACGACCGGAGACGGCGATCGTTTCTCGGGCCCGAGCTTGAGCTCCGCGGTCTTGCTCCTCCCCTGGAGTGATCTCCTGAGCGCCCGCAGCCGGGGCCTCCGCCTCCGCAGGCGCTGCTTCAGCCGCCGCCGCATCGTCACTCATCACCACGTCAGAGGGCTCGACGACCGCCGCCGCCTCCGGCTTCTTCTTCTTCTTCGCCGCCTTCTCTCCCGCCTTTTTCTTGGTCTTCTCTGTCTTGCCGCCCGGGGCCGCCTGCTCCTCCGCCTCGTCCAGGGCTCGCTTGGCTGCCTTGTCGGCGCCGGGCTCGGCCGGCTCTGGTGCCGGTTCTTGGGCCTGAGGCACGGCAGGGCTCGAGGCGGCCCGCACCTCCATGGCGCTGCCCAGCGACAGCGAGTCGGAGGCCGTGAACTGCGCCTTGGACGGCTCCGGCGCCGACGGCACAGCACCCTGCAAACAGAGGATTGTCACTGAGCGGAAGGATTAGATCCAACACGACACAATCTTAGACGACAGACGTTGCCAGAAAGGCTTACTGCTTTCGAGCGTATCAAAAATGTCACAGAGACTGCGGTAGTACCAGTTTTGATACCGGAGACTTCCAAGGAAGTGACGGCAACTCCAAACTGTACTCGCATCCGTACACATAACGATGCTCAAGACGCGATCTTCAAGATGGCTATTTCAGTTCAAAACCATATACAAATGTTGAGCACTCCTTTAATGTGGGGGGGGGGGGGGGGATGGCGGACCGTGCCGAGCACTGCGGCAGTTAAACTTTCTCCGGTACGGCTCACACAACCAGCACTGCTTGGCCTGAGCTCTGGTCCCAGAAATCCGTCCATTCAAAAGGTTCGAATTAAATGTTTAAAAAATACCCAGGATGCTTTCCCGACCAAATTCATGCACCTGGACTGAATCTTAGTGTCTGGGCTTAAAGCGATGCATTCTACAGTCCGGTACATTTCTTTCGGACACATTGCTAGTATCACGTCTTCGGGGATGACAGCACAGAGACGAGATGAACTCTGGTCGATAAATGCCGAGCGAATTGCACAGCACAGGGGCCTAGAAATTCAAATCGGCGAGCGTCTAATTCCGCATGAAACTCACATTCGTTCCAGCCACTTCGAAAACATAAACAATGACAGAAATGCCCTAGCGGCGTTTGTGTTTACACATGCATGTTTCGTTGTAGAAGGAAAAGTATTGGCTAAACTGACATTATCCACGTGTAGAAGCGCAAACCAGATATAGGCTTCACCAATTCACACATGCGTGGTCTCATTATTGATCCAAACGCAACGCAAATGTCACGTACACGGCTCGAGGCTTACAAGTGCTTCGATCCACTAATAAAGCCATGGTCAAACAACATAAGCTCATACAGCGCGAAGGCCGCCTGTCGCTGCGGCCACACGTAGCATCAAAGGCACAGGCCCCGACACACCGCGGCCCGTGCTGCTCTGCTGTCACGAAGGGTTCTCATGCGGAATAACTCTCTGCTATCGGAGCCTGGAGTGAGAATGTGGTTTGGTGGCGGCCCGCAATGCTAGGAGTACGGACAGTACGCCGCAGGATAACATCGATAATGAGGATGGTCTGGAGCAGAGTACGACATCTGTCCCACACTGATGATATTGCGTGGGCAGGCATGTAATTTCAAGAAATTTTCGGGTCGGGCGCATTTCCAAACCATAATAAGGACCACATGATGGTCCACCTTGGCTGGAAGGATCACAACTACCAAAAGGACATCAGGCAACGCAAACGTCTCAGTACAAGCGATCTGATGTGGGACATCCAATCATGCTTCGGCAGTGGCGCAGCGAGGGCTTGCCCAGGAGCGAGCGAAATCGGGTAATAGGCGGCCCTCACATTCAAGGGACATAGGGTTCTTCGCCGCTTTGGCGCCCTGTTTTGTTTGGAGGATTTTTTCATCTCGAGACCAAACTTCGATGGGTCGGGCCCATTGACATGTTTAGAAGTTTTAAGGGCGTCTAAGGCTGTCAAAGTGCACTGGGCCTTTCTGTCCCAGTGAGTCTCGCACCTCTATAGGTGCGGGCATGGGCATGTGCACGCTCCCAAAAGCACCCCTTGGCTACACCCTAGTGTTCCAGCAAAATTATAGCAGATCTAGGGCGAAGATCCGACCGGGTCACTTCTCGGCCACCAAACACCGCACGCCTCAGTATTACTCCCCAGTCATCTTCCCAACCCCTCACCTCCTCCGGCGGCGGCACCAGCACGTGCTCCATGTCGGGTCCCTGCGGCGCCAGCGAGAGCAGCAGGTCGAGCCGGACCGGTGTCTGGTGCGCCAGCTCCTCGGCCGCCTCCAGGCAGGGCACCTCCTCGCCCTGGTTGACCCACGGGTGGCCACAGACGTCCATCATGCTGGCCCGCTTCTCCGGCGCCGGCGTCAGCAGCGCGTGGATCAGCTCGGAGGCCGCTGTCGGCGGCGGGCACGGCACCTCAACCCAGTGACGATGCAAGGTCCCCACACAGTGCTCAAGGGTGCGAGGTACAGGTCGGCTGAACATACTGATGGGACTAAGCTGTACATATTCTGGGATTGAGAAAGCATTCCCAGGAATGACATGCACTATGCCTAGGACGGAGACAACGCTCACTAAACTGAGACAGCACTTGCGGGACTGAGACAGCACTCACGGGACTGAGACAGCACTCACGGGACTGAGACAGTACTCCGGAACTGGAACACACCCAGGACCGGGACAGCACTCACGGGACTTCTTCTGCGGCTCGTAGAAGTCACCGGACGTGATCTGCTTGACCAGTTTCTTGAAGTTGGAGCCGTCGAAAGGCATGGCGCCGTAGACGAGAGTGTAGAGCAGCACGCCGAGTGACCAGCAGTCGACCTCCGGCCCGACGTACGGGGTGCCGCGCACGATCTCCGGCGACGCGTACAGCGGCGAGCCGCAGTACGTAGACAGCAGGCGAGTCTCGTCGAACACGTTGCTCAGGCCGAAATCGGCGATCTGGCGGGCGCCGAGACGCGGAGGTCACGGCAGGCGGAAGGAGGGGCGGTGAGGTCACGGCGGGTGGAGCGGGGAGGTCACGGCAGGTGGAAGGCGGGGGAGGTCACGGCAGGCGGGGCGGTGAGGTCACGGCAGGCGAAGCGAGGAAAACGGAACGACAACTAGCAGGAGGAAGGAGCACGGAGCGGCAGTTAGCCGGGGGAAGGCGCAGGGGAGGGCAGCTAGCCAGAGAAAGAATAGCAGCTAGCCGGAGAAAGGCGCATGGAGCGGCAGCTAACCGGAGGAAGGGGCACGGAACGGCAGTTAGCCGTAAGGAGGAACGAACGGCCGCTAGCCGAAAGAAGGAGCAGGGAACGACAGCTGGCCGGAAGAAGGCGCATGCGGCCGCCACAGCACACACGCTTACGCTGCCAACGATGCAGATTTTTAGGCTGGAGGGATCCAATACGCACAGTCGCCTTTCGCGTATGTTTCGGTGTGTGTTGTGCGGGTTTCCCGAGTTTTATAGGACTCACCTTGAAGCGTCCTGCTGAGCGACACGTGCACATGACCACATTTCAAACATGCGCAAGACATGCGTCGAGACTTACGGACCCGGGGCATGCGCACACTTGACTCCCCATGAGATACTTCCTCCCGAATACGGATTTAATACATGTTACAAACCAATCCACCTGCAGCAGTGCAGCCATGATATGTACGAAGACATGGTATTTCTGCTGCTGCCTATGTCACACCGTCAATGTGCCAAAAGGCGCTTAATGTTCGCAGACTAGTACAAAGAAGAGGAACTTAAAAAAGGTACACACTCGTGACCGATCCACACGTAAGCGTTTCGCAAGCGACGTCCGGTGCCAGCAGAAGGGGCGTGACGCGATTTCTGCGCTGGGATTCTCACCTTTGCGTTGCCGTACTCATCCAGCAGGATGTTCTCCAGCTTGAGATCTCGGTGGCAAATCTTGTGCTGCAAGCAGAGCAATCACACTTAGCGAAGCTGCCGCTGACGGGAAGCTGGGTGTGGCCCACCGATTACAGTCGAATCGTTGAAATTGCAAGATACACGACATGCACATATCTAGGGATTGAAAAGCAGCTTCGGGTTCAGTGAACATCAGATCATCGATCTAGCCGAAAGCCTTCGGTCAGACCGTGCCTAGAGTCGGTATTTGTGCGCTAGTTTGACGAGAAGCGGGACCTAATTATAATACTGACAAAGCTCGCCGAAGTATTTTGGTGATCTGACCAAGTGCAGCAAATGCTGACCTCGAGCAACTGTAAATGTGATTGGAGACTAAGCAAAAGCTGAAGGAGCTCAAATGACAACAGAGGCTTCGGCCATAATGCTATGGATGCGTCACTTTAGATGCTTTATTGGAGATGCTCGTACCCATTAAAGGGTACGAGCATCTCCAATATAGCATAGCATCTCCAATAAACAAGCGATAGTGGTGTTTTAACTAAACAAACGTCGTCCATGGCGTTATAACCGGAAAGAAAACGCAAACGTAACAATATTCTCGCTTTTCTTTTTTCATCGTGGTTGAGAAGCTGCCTTTTGAAATCGGAGTGTTCTCGAATCACTACGAAGCACCACATTCGAAAACCGGTTCGCTAGACCCCGACCCTTCAATAAAAACAGAATGCAGCGCCCGATGACGGTTCCACAGCATCCTGCGGGAACCGCAGGTACCCACATCCTGAAGAGGCGGGAGACGACGCTGTCCTAACCTGGTCAGCACTGACAAGGGCCAGGCCATTTTGAGAGCTTGATTGAGTAAGTTAGGCAAGGAGTCCATAATTCTTTTTCAGTACAGCTTGATAAGCTTACGCTCATCAAGCCAAACGCGCTATGCTATTTCAGTTCATCGACAATCCTGCCCCAAGTCTTACAAAACCGGTGTGTACTACGGGGCGGTCCTTCCGTGCCGTACAATGTTACATCACAGCCACTCGGCGCCAGCTCTGCCCTCTGACCAGTTGCCGGGTGGCGGTCCCACGTCAGTCGGCACTAAAAATGCGTCCGTAGTGGGTATTTGTACTCAGAGAGCCAGCGAGTTACGAGTCTAGAGCCTCCCACGCGGATGTGGAGAGACAACTGCCATGAGGTATGGCAACGGTTCTCGTCTACCCCTTGACAGAGCTATCAGCCCTATCTATCCCGCGGCAGGGCCATCAGCCATTCTACCTCGTAGCAGAGTTGTTAGCCCCATCTACCCCGCGATGGGAGTAGCAGGTGCTGTCCGCGGTGCCGGCCCTTGCTATGTGGCGTCAGTGCTATCACCACCCTCCCAGCTGGTGCGCGGCGTGCCGGCCACCGTACCGAGCGTGCAGTGGCAGCAGCCCTCCCCCTCGCCGGTACACCGGGAGCGTGTCGTCCGCCGCACCCACCTTGTGGCAGTAGTAGCAGGCGCTGGCCACCTGCCGGAAGATGCGGCGCGCCTCGCCCTCGGCCAGCACCTTCTTCTCGCTGAGGTAGTCGTACAGCTCGCCGCCAGCCGCGTACTCCATCACCAGCACCATCTTGTCGCGGTTCTCAAACACTGCGGCGACAGGGGAGACTTCATGTGCAGGCGATGCTTACCTCACCGCGATTGCTGGCAAGATTGTTGACTGGCGGGAGTTTCCGCAATCGAGCAGATATTGATGTATGTGGGAGGAGGGGTCATGACGGTGCTTGAAAGGAGCACGCCAGCAAACCGGAGAAAGCTCACAAATATATATATATATATATATATATATATATATATATATATATATAACTCCGATGGTGGAAAAATGTCTTCTGAAAGTATTCAAATAAACCCAATATGTGCTACTAATATTACGGTGCTAGTTAAGCTGGCTGAGCTGTAGTTGTCCCCTGATATGCTACATATCACATGCACCTGGTAGAAATGCAGTAAACTGCTTTACATGACCACCCCTACATAAAAGCAGTTCAATGGTGATGACTCCTCGACGCCATGCCATGTGGAACAGAGCGCTAGAAGGGTATAGCCAGGAAATCGGAAGTGAAACTCCTCCACACTCGTGGCTTGGCGGGTGCGGCTTGTTAGCTAACATTACAACAAACTAAGGCACTGACAGTACGCGATTCAATGACAATATCCATACAAACACAAAGAACAACAAACAGGCAAAAATATCCGATTGCGTGAGCGTAACAAATCACCAAACCACGCGAGTCAACCAACCGCGTGCAGCGTCACATGATCACATCATCCCTCGCGCGATGCCAGGGAACCGACGCTGACCGCTGCCCCTCGGCCAGATACCTTCATATATGTGGATAATGTGTGGGTGCGTCACCGAGGACATGATCTGGATCTCCCGTCGAATGCGGATGAGGTCTTTCTCAGTCTCGATCTTCGCCTTCTTGATGGTCTTAATTGCGACCTGCGGGGACAAACACAGCATTACAACTGCTGACGGCGGTTTAACTCTGAAACCAGTGTCAACAACAGGTAAAAGCATGCTTTTCCAGCGCACAAAACACACTAGAAAAATGTAGGTGGGCTAGGAAGCATAACACGTGAAAGGTTTCCCCACAGGAAAATACAAATAAACCGGTAATTTTTTTCGTAAAAGTGACATGCCAAGGGTGGGCACAACCGCACGACGCCGGTTACCCTAATAGGAATCACAGCCAGTGTGCGGAGTCAACAATCTATTCACCGCCGCCCCAGTGTTCCGTCCCATTCGAGTCCCTCACACGAATGAAGCGTTCAGCGGGGTCAACTGGGAAGACCACGTGCTTACATAGCACCGAGGAACGAGGCCGCAGACTGAGTGTGTCTTACTTCAACTACGGCCACGTGCTCAGTCTGAGCGGCATGGTCTGGCGCAAGCGGCATTGACATGCCGGCGCTTTCGCAACCACTAATCGCAGCTGCATGCACCTTTCAGCAACAAAAAGGCCATCTTTAAGTGCTGAACAGTTGTTTGCTGTACAACGTGCAACCAGCGAAAAATCGCAGGACGAGTTCAAAACCGGTCTCCTGTCCCGACAACCCAGGGTGGCAAGAACATAGGATCAATGCAACTTAACCGAGGAAGTGACGAGCAATCCTAGCGGCGCAAATGTCCGCCACTTCGTACAGCAACTAGTTCATGCAAACACAGCCACTCGCCGTTCAGCCAGTCTCTCGCATTTCTTAGTGGATTGGCCCATCAAAAATCATTCCTGAGTTGAACACGTAGAAGATTGCGGCGTACTTCCTCAAGTCAGAATGCATTTGTGTTTATAGAAGTGGCCCCCTACAACGTCATCATCTCGCAAGGCTTTGGTCTCAGCACGGGTCATGTGGTATGTGATACCAACGGTGACACGTATTTTAATTGTGGTGGGCGTTTTGGCACACAGAGTTAGGACAAAAGACGCAGCGCAAAGGTGGCGTTATATCAGGTGTTTTAGATTCGTTTAGGTAGGTCTGCCTTTTAAAATAATAATACTAAGCTTTCTCTGGAAAATACTACAGAAATAAATATAAGCGAACACAAAATACAAACGGTGGGCCAACCCATCAAGAGCTAATGAAGGATCTCGGCAACAATGCCGTCATGAAATAGTTTAAATTGCGCACTCTCCCCCCCCCCCCCCCACACCACCGGGCACATGCTGAGGCGAAAATTCTGCTGAGTTATAAGATCACTAACGATTTTGGACCAGCCAGCAGGGTTTGCGGCAACACAATCAGCCGCATGAAGTACGGGAACGCATCGTCCCCAACAGTTCATATGTCACAGCTGACCACAACATCGTACTTTGCTGACCACAGGACCATTCCGAAGCCCAGTACGGTAGCTAATCCCCACAAAGTTCCGTGAACGCAGCATTAACGCGTGCAACAATTCACAGACACGTGGAGCACGTGCCGGCGGCGGTACTAAGCGGGCGCCCACTATCGCGCCGAGCCAACACTGGCGCTCGAGCCGTGACTTCAGTCGGCGCGCCGCGCCTGGCCGCGATGGGGAGGGGGAGGGGCGACGACGCCAACCAGCGACGAAAATAGCGGCGGTGCGAGCACGGATGCACTTCTCGACCCTTCACATTCGGAAAGCCCGTCAGGGGTTCCGGTGCTCGGGCGGCACAGGTGGGTGGCCCGGTCTGATGACGCCATGGGGCACGCCGCGCCGCCCTGATTGGTTTGCAAACGCTCCGGACCGGCCCCGTGAATGACAAGTGGGCTAGGGTCTCCACCTGCTGCAACTGAAGAGTGGCGCACTCAAACGCTGGGCGCCTCCGCGCCGTCCGCCGCCGCATGACGGGCGGACGCCGTGAACAAACAGTGGCTGAAGAGGCGAGCCGCCCCAGCGCCGCCGCAGACAGGCGCCGGTGTACCGAGACAGCTGACGTGACCGCCCTTCCCCGCAGACGCCTCCAGTCGCCTCCTGAGCGGACTCATCGGTCGGCAGACACCGGCCATCGACCGAGAGGCGGCGACGGCTCACCCGGCAGGCGCCATCCCGTCAGCGGTAGCGTTGCAGGAGGCGCTGCTCTGGGCGCTTCCTGGAACGGCAGCTTCGGCGCTAATCTTCGGAAGGCATCCCCCGGCCCGGCCAACTAGGACCTTGAATCAATCTCCCGTACTTTCTGGAATCTAGTTACGTCTACGACACCACAATTCTGACAACAACAGTGGTACGGGGTTCGATTCTCCGCGGTGCCCGCCCTTCCTGCCAAGGTGAGAGGCAGGCGACGCACTACAGCATCAGCAGCTGAGTGCGTCATTAAGCCCCTAAGACAACAGTGGTTCTCCACTGATATGTAAAATCCGCGTTCCCATCCACGGCACACCCAGACAAACACTCCCCGCGCCTCCATAGATGAGAAAAGCACGCCGCGGGTGTGCGAATCGTCGGTGTACACCGGCACATACCGGTGTCAACCGGTATCCGCCGGCACGTACCGGCGTCCACCGGTGTCCAGTCCCAATCACCACGTTTGTAAACTACAGGCAGCTGCGAGTAAGAGCGGCTGGGACAGCAGCGCCAGCATCGCATGGCGTTTTATTTCTGGCGGCTCCAGGTGACAAACAAATACGCCAAACGCCAAAACCTCGGCTCCCGATTGGACTAGCGCCAGTCAGGCACCAGAATCCAGGGCATCTCTGTCTTTCCCGCCCATCAGCGCTGTTTAAACGCTCCGCAGCGTTAAGACGTCCTCTTCATCACCGCAGTTTATATCTGCTGGTAACGAGCATATGATGTGTATAGACACACGCATGGATATAAAATACATCCAGGTCTTGTTCAACTGGGGCTTGTTTCATTCCGTTGATGCGTGTTCCGACTGCTGCAGGTTGTATAACATAGATGTTATGCCAAACATGCCTTATGGGATGAAAGGTGACCACCTAAGCATAACTTCTGTCTAAAGATTACCATTTCGGCTACATGTCAATAGATGCTACGGTGTATCCTCTGTTGAGACCCTTTGCCTTAATCATGGGAGGTTAGATATGAAGAAAGTTGTTGTGATGCCGTGACTAAGCGATCAACTACGACCACAACGTGACGCCAAACGGACCGCGGTCATCTAGAACGTTGGAAAGGATCTGCGCTATGTAGAGTTCCCTGATTTTATTTCCCTTAGACGAGCGGAAACATATCATACCAGAAAGACCCTTTTCAACCCAAACAAATCTCGAAGAACTGCATTACTGTCCTATGTGTGCAATGTCCTCGAGTGAAACGCCACAGACCCTAGCACGAGCACCATGAAGATATCGGTGCCTCGGACTCACCTCCCATTGGTCCGCCCTAGACCCAAGATCATGCGCAATCATTACAGCGGAAGGAAAACATGGCAAAATGGGCGATGCCAAGCAAGTCAGCATCATGTGTCGCAACTCTCCATTTACTTACAAACACCTTGGAATGTGCCAGGAACTGGGTGCATTTCGTTAGAAAACATCACGTACCATTCTCCGCACGTCAGTGCTGCCGTCATCATAATCACCAACAGCTAAAAGCCTGCAAACAACACATGACAAAAGGCCAGTGATAGCTTTTTTTCTAACGGGCGCAGGCATTACATGAAATGCCAAGTGGCATTACATGAAATGGCATGCCCCCCCCCCCCCCCCCGTCCAATTTGCCACGAAAATTTGTGTCGTCCTACGTCCATCTCCACGCACGGGGCTTCCGCGTTGGCTTCCGCTGACCGAACGCCATCTACGACCTAACTCAGACATGGTCTAATATAGAGGTCATTATTTGCTTCAGTTCGTTTTTAAAACAGGCCAACTTGAACTCACAGCCTCCCATTGCCCACATATACTCACATCCTGGCCCGTCTCCTTATTTATAGCCAGCTGCACCTTCCCGTAAGTTTCCTTGGCCAAGTTTCTTCACTATATCAAACCTGAAACAGAAGTAACAGTCAACTCTTAGGAATCGGCGATGTTCTCGATGATAACGACGTGGTCGTGAACAATTTCTTAAAAAAGATCATCGTGCCACATAAACGTCCTGCGATCAGATCTAAACATGATCAAAACATCACATGCTTCCGTTATATAGATGTCACTCTTGCCGTGGTAAATGTAGATGTAAGCATTGAATGATGTCTCTGGGACTAATAACCAACATCAGCACATCAAGGAACGATAGCCATGTGTGTTCTCCAGACCTGACTGACCGCCCCGACCGCCCAGTGCTCTGCACCTTTTGGCAACAACAGCAGACAACCGTCGCGCCGACGCTGATGCTGATGATCTGGGTTTAGCACGCGTCGACAGCATGGGTCATATGGCGCATCGATCACTTCTGGCCAGCGCGTGCAGCGTGCGGTGCATGTCTCCTCTCATTCGCGGACCTGTTCCATGCCATCGCTCACCCCTCCCCCTCCCCCCCCCCCCCCACACACACAACGCATCTCTGTTTTGTCCCTGCTTATCGGGCCTGTATTCTTGGACCGTGGATAACAGACGCCGCATACCAGTGGGATAGCACGAGAGGACGGGGCGGACGCGTTACGACAAGGGTCGGGAGAGCCGCTGCTGCGGCTGACGTACCAGTGGGATAGCAGGGGAGGACGGGGCGGACGCGTTACGACACGGGTCGGGAGAGCCGCCGCCGCGCCTGACGTACCAGTGGGATAGCAGGGGAGGACGGGGCGGACGCGTTACGACACGGGTCGGGGAGAGCCGCTGACGTCTGGTCCAGCCTCAGCGCGTGCGGCGCTCAGCAGATTACAAGCCCAGTGGCCCGGTCATCCTCACTGGTGCGTCACTGACTGGTGATCTTACAAAGTCACGAAGGTCTCAGAGGAGAACACATCTTTCAAAGACAAAAGCAATGTGCAGGAAGAAGAGGCAACGTTCTGTCTTGTAGCATGCCCGGCTGCCTACAGATTTTGCCGGCATCAAACCACGTCAAGTTATCGAAAAGCAGTCTCAGATTTGGAGCAATGCCAAAACATCTATGAAGAAGTGATCCGAGAAGCCTTCTCCTCATCATCAATATTTCTTCCAGCAAACATGTCACACCATTTCTCCATCTGAAGGGAAGCGACCGACGACCCACGGTTCAGGCGACGTATTTCCTCGTGAGCACGCGCGGAATGTGTTGTGTAGTTACCAGCTCGTCACGGAATGTGACCGGCGCTCCACACTTCTCACGTCGGGCTGGGTTCCAGGGAAGGGGAGGGATACGGCGCACGGGCGTCTCCAGGGAGGAGGGGAGGGGGAATTGGGTGGGGCCACACTCCCCAGAGGCGACAAAAAAAAAAACAACCAGTGTTTATGCTTTAGGCCTAATTTTCGGGGCATTAGCGCCGTCTTTCGAACACCGCTCTCTCCAAACTGAGACGTTATATCCGCCATTGCCAGCCCGCACGTTTCGAGGGAAATGGCTGACGCCAGCAAGGGGGCGTCATTCTGCCACAGAGAAGTGACCCACGGTAAGGCTGCCCCCCCCCCTCAGCCCCACTGGCCGTTTTTCGTAAAGAAGCATGATTCCCGGATAGGTTCTGAGAGACCGGATTGCTAAAAAGGACAATTGTGGCTGACGTAACAGGCTATCCAGTGCCGAATCGAACAAAACTTCTCACTACACGTGGCCCAATTCCCTCTCTCCGGGCCTCAACCGTTCCTCTAATCTCGAGACGTCACAGGATTACCCCATCGCCTGCCCTCAGGCTCCCGGGCCGACCAGCCCTGACATGGTTCAGCGGACCCCCGATTCCAAGCACATCCCAGCGCGGTCCATCCGCCGTCCTCGAAGGGAGGACGCGACCGGCATGCCCACTATTGTCCCCGTCTCTTGAGTACCGCTTCAGCCACGCTCGTAGTTGAGACGGTAACGTGAAGAATGCATCGCGACGTAGCGCCAAGGTTAAAATCTGAGCAAACATTTTAAGATTTTTACGCAGGACACTCCAAATTACCCGCGTTATGACCCACCTGCTCACGCAATGATGCGCTCTCCTCGTGTTACGATCTTACGCGACACGCGCATGTTAGGCACCTGTTGAAAAGATTGTCAGTGCTGAGCAAAGTGCACTTCATCAATCGCCTAAAAACCGTCCTCCGAATGTCCTAAGTTCGTGAAGTACCCCCGGCAAATCGGCAAATCCCATAGTCCCATCCGTATCCCGACAAATCGCACGGTCCGTTCATATTCCGAAAAATCCCATGGTCCATTCATATTCCGACAAATCCCACGGACCATTCATACCCCGACAAACCTCACCGTCCATTCATATCCCGACAAATGCAAAGGCCCATTCATACCCCGACAAAACCCCACGGTCTTCTCGTGTCCCGAGATCACAGGTGGCCATAGGTTCGGCTGACTCCAACATCTGCAAACCAGCTGGCCTGCCATGCCAAACACACCCCAGAACTGTCCAGTGAGCATGCGCTTTTCAGAGCGTTCATGAAAGAGAACATCACTTGGTATACACACGGCACACGGTGGTGACATAACGCGTCAAAGCAAACTTGTATGAGGTCACTTGACTGCATGGTGGTCCATTACGGCACCAAAGCAATTAGACTTGTTTGACGCCGCGCACCAGACGGTGACGTCATCAAAGCACCGCTCTGACATCATTGCACGGCAGTCGGCACGGCACCCAGGTACGTCCCCCCCTCCCCCCCCCGTCCGAGAGCAGATGACAGCCGCACAGCGCCGGGTCACGGGCAGGGGGGGGAGGGAGCGGGAGCGGGGGGGGAGGGACGGCCGCCGAGCGGCGGCAGGGCGCCAGCTCGAGCACGCGGTCGGCATGAGTCGGCCAGACGCGCCGCTGAGTCAGGACGAGCGCTCTGGAAGGCCACCATCACCGCGGTCAGGCCCACTCACGGGGGAGCAGAGCGTCCGTCCACCGGCCGGCCGGCTGTCGCGCTCGAGTTCCCCTCATTGCAGGAGGTCTCTGAGAGCGCTTCGATTTTTGAATTTCGTTGGCAAAAGACCGTTGAAAAACTTGGCGGTGATATTTTCTGTGCGGGGAATGGGAGCGACATCCTGTAAATACAACCTTGAACCAGCCCTAATGGCGACGCAAACGATGGCGACAGACCCGCCGACGCAGAATTTGGCAGGAAGCCGAGGCCTGTAGCGAAGGAAATACGCCAACACTGCCGCCTCACTTCGGCTACAGGGAGAAGGAAAACAACCGCAGAAGGGTGCGACGTCTGTAATCCGTCACCAATGGCGCCGATTACGTCACAGTTGGGGCGGAGGCAAGGTTGGACACGAGACGCTGGACGGCGGGCGATGTTATGCCACCGAAGTTCGGTGTTCTGCGACAGCGACCACGCCGTGATAAAAGCGACGCAATCTCGAATGGTAACTGTCCGGCGGCGGCGTTAGTTACTAGCCGACTCGCAGCGCCGGCCGCGGTCAAAATGTCCCAGACGGCGGGCGAGAAGGCGGAAATGGACGCGGCGTCAGCTGACAGGCCCTCCGGAGACCAAGTTGACAGCCGAGATCGATCTCCGCCACATCTGACAGTGAGAGATCATGGTCTCCTCTCAGCGCCGCTGGCGCACGACCGCGGACGTGGCCCGAATGTAACGCGCCCTGCTCAGGCATTAACAGGCAGCACGACTAGATCCGAACATCTACATGCACGTCACCGAAATCCGCCAGATGGGCCGGAAGGCGCTCGCCGAGCTCAGCAGGCAAGCCCGCTCGGATCGTGCCGGCCCGCGCCCGCGTGTTCGCGGCCGGGGCAGCAGCCGCTCGCACCTGGTCCGCGTGAGGTGCGCCCGCCCGCTGAAGGCGTGCCGCGCAGCGTGAGTAACTGTTCCAGGACCGCTCCACTCCTCCCGCCCCCCCCCCCCCCCGACCGGCACCGTTAGTCAAGGGTGCTGGTACTGCCCAGGGGCCGCAGCAGGGAGTCGTCACGGCATCGTCCGTGACATTCTCCAATAAGATATTGTTCTGTCACAACTAAAATGCAAGTCGGTGTTTAACATTTCGGGTAAACCTTCGGATGTCCTAAAAAATCATAGGGTGATAATCCACCGGGCCGTTGGTAATTTCTACATACAAAAATGCAACAGCTTGCTGTGCCTGTCAGCCTAACGCCACATGCAGTATAAAACAAAGACCATGATACAGCAGAGAAGCGCAGGACTTCTGAATTGTTGCTCGCTATGTTCAGGAAGCTACACATTTAGAGCTACCAGTCAGGTATACAGACAAGCATGTGCAAGTTACAAGCCCAGACACGTTGCCAAGAACTATAATACGGTCAAGCATTGGCCATTTTCAGGGTTTATTTAAGCACTGAAAAACTTTTTCGTGTTTTAAAAATACCTCTATAATGTTTCTTTAGTGTATACCAAACAGCCGAAAATTTTCATGCGACTCCATTGACCTTCAATAAAAAGTAAGCTTGGCGTATCTGATTAATGAGTCAATAGCATGAAACAAAACTCTTAAAACACGAATTTCATCCTTTCACGTCTTTAGTTCACTCATATTTCGGCGAGTACCGGGCCTGGCAATCAGCCGGGTGGATCGGTCAAGCGCCCTGGATGCTGGCTGCTCCATGATCATTTATATCGGTGCAGTGCGTAGCAAGGCGGACTTTGAAAATCATTTAACACGCGTCCGGGTGGCCGGCTAGACACACTTCGCTCGGGTGGACGGGGTCAATTTGACCCTCCTTGAGATCTCGGTAACTAAGAAAGCCAGAGACACCAAATTTACAGGGTGTCTTGAAATGTACGTGAAATCACTTAGGTCAAAGTTTGAGCTTCCTGGGTCATGACCTTCAGGTAAAATAAGGTCAAACAATGTCAAATTCCAGGTTGATCCCTATAGTGTCCCCAGAGCCTAGGCAACTGTTCCTAAGCAAAATGTCACAAACCCATTTCAGCTCAGTGACCTTGTTTGACCTGTTGAAGGTCATGGTGACCACAATTATACAGGACTGCTCTGAGTTTTGCATTTGAATAAGCGACAAAGATTACGCTAGGCAGTATGTTCCTAAAACAAAATGTCGACCTGGCTCATGTTAGGTCAATGACTTTTTCTAACCTTTAGGAAGTCAATGTAAGATGCATAATACGGTTCCTATTATCAATAATTAGAAATGAGCACCACAAACTATCCCACACAGCAAGCTCTAAATTAATAATCAGGCTGGTTTTGACCTTGGTCTGACCTCCATACCTTATCTTAGGTCAACGTAATTTGCTAATTCAATATTTGTGGTGCCTAAGAGAGCATCTTCAGAGATGTATGGCTTCGTAAACACTCCATTATTGTATCAGATTGGACGATTCCCTGGCAATTGCCTTCGCTGAAACTATGGCCTGACTTTGACCTGCCATAGGTCAGCGACCTCACAAGGTGCATCTAAATTTTTGATACTCAACGATCAGCTATTCAATTGTCTACAGATACACAAAATTTGGCGTGGCTGTGCCGCGCCGTTTGAAAATCATTCTGGAAATATCTTCGGAGGGAGTCAATTTGACCCCCACCCGAGCGCGTGTTAATAGCATGCAAATTAGATGCTAGCGACCATTGCGGCGCCATATGACGCGCGCAGGTCATGTTTACACACGCACTTGAAGGTTTGCAGGTACGGTTTGCTTTCCGACTCAACTATGGTGTGCGCGTGTCCCCGAGTTTGGCATCGTATCATGCAGAGGAGTGGGTACCTTGTCGGCGCCGCTCGACGCCTGGCGGGAGACCGCCGGCAGCACCGCTGTGTCAGTCCAGTCAACAGTCTCCGTCCCTCCCCGCTGTGTCAGTCCAGTCAACAACCGCCGATCCTTCCCGCTGCGTCAGTCCAGTCAACAGCCGCGACCCTCCCCGCTGTGTCAGTCAGTCAACAGCCGCCGACCCTCCCCGCGTGTCAGTCCAGTCAACGGCCGCCGACCCTCCCCGCTGTGTCAGTCCAGTCAACAGCCGCCGATCCTACCCGCTGTGTCAGTCCAGTCAACAGCCGCCGATCCTCACCGCTGAGTCAGTCCAGTCAACAGCCGCCGATCCTACCCGCTGCGTCAGTCCAGTCAACAGCCGCCGATCCTCCCGCTGTGTCAGTCCAGTCAACAGGCCGCCGATCCTTCCCGCTGCGTCAGTCCAGTCAACAGCCGCCGACCCTCCCGCTGCGTCAGTCCAGTCAACAGCCGCCGACCCTCCCGCTGTGTCAGTCAGCCAACAGCCGCCGATCCTACCCGCTGTGTCAGTCCAGTCAACAGTCTCCGTCCCTCCCCGCTGCGTCAGTCCAGTCAACAGGCGCCGATCCTTCCCGCTGCGTCAGTCCAGTCAACAGGCGCCGTCCCTCCCCGCTGTGTCAGTCCAGTCAACAGCCGCCGACCCTCCCGCTTGTCAGTCCAGCCAACAGCCGCCGATCCTCCCGCTGTGTCAGTCCAGTCAGCACCCGCCGTCCCTCCCCGATGTCCGACTTTACACGCGCGAGTGCCCACGCTTGCAGCCTGCCCGCAGTCCCGCCCCCGCGTCCAACTGCCGGCCGGGTGCCCAGCTAGCCGCCCCGTCGGTCCGCCTCGCGAGGCCCGCCGCAGTACCGCCCCAGCGTCCAACTGCCGGCCGGGTGCCGAGCCGGCCGCCGCGCCGCTCCGTTTCGCGAGGCCTCCCGCAGTACCGCCCCGCGTCCAACTGCCGGCCGGGTGCCGAGCCGGCCGCCGCGCCGTCCGTTTCGCGAGGCCTGCCCGCAGTACCGCCCCGTGTCCAACTGCCGGCCGGGTGCCGAGCCGGCCGCCGCGCCGCTCCGTTTCGCGAGGCCTGCCCGCAGTACCGCCCCCGCGTCCAACTGCCGGCCGGGTGCCGAGCCGGCCGCCGCGCCGCTCCGTTTCGCGAGGCCCGCCCGCAGACCGCCCCCGCGTCCAACCGTGCCGGCCCGGTGCCGAGCCGGCCGCCGCGCCGGTCCGCCTCGCGAGGCCTGCCCGCAGTACCGCCCCCGCGTTCAACCGTCGGCCGTGTGCCGAGCCGGTCCGCCTCGCGAGGCCCGGCCGCAGTACCGCCCCCGCGTTCAACCGTCGGCCGGGTGCCGAGCCGGCCGCCGCGCCGGTCCGTTTCGCGAGCCCCGGCCGCCGCGCGCCTGTTGTTCTTGGTGTGACCCCAATGCCGGCGGGCGTGAAGGCCGCCGTGCTGCCCCGTTTGGCGGCGGCCGGCGGCGGGGCGCGCAGGGCGTCGCGCGCCGCGCGCCGGCCCGTGTTTTGCGGCGGGACGGCCAGCCCGAAGTGGGGCGCTGTTCGGCTGTTTACACGCCGGTTAAATCTCGCCCATTGTTGCCCGTCGGATAAACGGGAGATGTTTGTGTATGTGTGGCTGCGGGTTCGGAGTGTGTGCTCAGCGAATGGCGGCGGTGAACTGCGTTGTGCGTGTGTGCGTGCGTGCGTGTGTGCGTATGGGTGTGTGGGCGTGTGATGTGTGAACTGGAACGTTTAAACGAAGCTATCTTAATTACATTTGCTCGCGTGATAACTGCACGTGCAGCTGAAGGCTGCATAAAGCCCGCTGATTCAGAGCATGTTAATGTTTCCCTCGAATCGGCACTGCAGGAACTGCCCACGCAATCATTCTGTAGTACTGGGATCGTTCAAATCGCTCCTTGGTTTCGGAGAACCCGAGCAGCTACGCGTCCTCCG